AAAAAATTAATTGATTAAAAACTCTATACAAACTAAGTATAACAACCATACACTGTACATATCAGGGGCATATTTATTAGTCACTGTTTGCAGCCCTTAATGCAACTTAATTTGTTTTTCCAGCTAACAGATTTTTATTTTCATTTCGGTAAACAAGTGAAGAATTAGAAAATAGAAAATCTGGTCGTCTGTCCATAGGTCATCTTCCAACACTACCCCAACACCCCAGGGGAAACTGATTTCTCAAAGTAATGATTCAGTTTTTGGGCATATTTTTCAAACAACACATATATCTGTCATTTCTAAATTTGATTTACCTGCTTCATATACATGTTCTGTATGTCAAATAATTTTTTGTGCAATTGTAACATTTGGTTGGACAAGCAGAGTGAAATTAAAAATAAACACTTTGCAGTTTAATTTAAACATTATCTGCACAAAGGACTTCTGCTGCCTGGTTAAATATTGCAGATTGCATACGCAGCCTAAAAAAAAGAAGACAGGATTTCCCCTTTGCTAGAGCAAATACGTCTTACCCAATGAATAATATATCAGAATAGAATAACTAGATCAGCTGAAAAAGATGTACGACATAAAAGGATAAGTTAGTGCAGGATATGTGATAATGCTTTTTACTCTTATCTGAATTCAATTCTAGTTGGCCAGTGGCAAGTGAAGGAAAACAACCATGTTCTCCTTGCCCTAACTACAGTACCAAAGCTGTGAAGACAGCACAGAGCAGACCAAAACAATTACTCATAAAAAGGTTATACTTTTATTTTGTTGTGTAATTTAAAACATTTTTATGCACATTTACAAATGCAGAAGGGGGTCTCTCACAAAATTGTTTCTCTGAATTACACGCTGAACATGCTTGGTAAACAGGTAACTCTCTAGAATTCAGAATTCAATCCTCTACAATATGAACACCCTTAACTTTGCACTGTATCACAACTCAGGTAGACATTCATGAAGGGTAAGTTTTGGGGAAAAGGCACTATGGTCTTTTCATTACTATAAAGCTCCATGGGACATTCTTTTTAGATTGAGTCAGCTTCACCCTTTAAGGATCTAGCTGGCACGGTCTTGGCTAAAACAACTCTATATTGGTCCAAAAAAAAAAAGAAAAGATGATTCACTGTTCCAGCTGTCTAAGTAAAAGGTAATGTTGACTATATGTGTAGTTATATCATTATGGATGAATCAAAAACATACTAGAACATTACAGAACAGTAAAATTGTTTACAGAACAGTAAAACCTGGGACTTAGCTGTGCAAAGGAAATGACTGCACCCCCACATTGGTAAGAGATCTGTTCTGGTTTTCACAGTGAGGGAAGAATGAATGAATGCCTACTGAAGGCCGGAGGCTGGTCGGAGTATCTGGTTCTAAGAAGGCAGGGAGGAGAGATTAAGCAGAAGACTCAGAGGACCAGTCTGTCCTCACCTGCCTCCTGAATGACCTGCCCAATGGACGCCTGACTCTGTGCTCTCAGGAAGCACTGCCTCTTGCACTCCATCAGCTGCTCCAAGTCACGCCACATCTTCACCTGCTTCATGTTGGGCCCATGGCTCTCTCGCACAGCCCTCTGCTTCTCGCGCAACTTCTGTGGGCAGAACACAAGAAAACACCTTGCTGTTCTCTCGGTAAAGAAGTCATTTCAAAAGACCCTGTCTTATACTTGGACACCTCCAGAGTAAACAAGCGAAAACACAATACAATACACCCATGCTTTACTGGACTAAGGGTGAAAGGGGTGTCCAGTAGGCACAGTGGTTAGCATTGCTGCCTTGCAGTGCTGGGGCCCTGGGTTCAATCCCTGGAGTGCTGTTCACAAAATACTGTCACTGTCACTGTATTTAAAATAGGCTAGGGTAGGATAGGCTCCAGCTTTCCTGTGACACCGTATTCCATAAAGCAGTTAGAAAATCGATAGACAGATAATTCTGAAATCCATAAACTATATAAAATGGCCCTCTGTGACATGTGTTCTATTAATATATATATTTATAATCATTCTGGCTGAAAAGCAAGAGTTAAAATTTCTTTTCATGGATTTCCAAAAGCTGTGCATATGCTAGGAGTTTGTAGTCACAGTAGGTAAGTTTAAACAGTGTAATGAAAAAAACTGACAGAAACTGCTTTGTAGAGGACAACTCCCTAATGAAAACTGAAGGAAAGATCACAAAAGAGATGGGGAAAAGGGATAATATTTCAAAACCTGTAACTATGCCATCTGTCTTCTCTCGTGACAGGAGGAAATCAGTAAATAATGACAGATGGAGGTGGCCAGCATCATGTGGAAAACACAGAGTGTATAGTTGGGAAGTGCCACCTGATGGGTTACTAACAGGCGTGGCTGGGTTTACTGTGGATCTGCCGGTCTGTCAATTTGATCTCACTCAGCTCCCAGCACACACAGCGATCTCTGCCTCCCGGGAGCTTGCAGGCCTGTCTTCCAACTGGTGCTGAACCTCCAGTATGAGGCTCTGCATCATAGCCACATAGCTTGTGGCAGCTACTCAAAGGTGGGCAGGTTAGAGGAGTCTGCCTCCTTTTCTTCATTCTGCCCCATGTGAGGATGTGGGGTCCATAGCCATAACTCAAAAATTGAAAAACACACAACTGTCTATTTCAAAATCTATTGGGGTTAGAAAATCTTATTTTTTTAAAAAAAGTCTGAAATCACTGAATATATGACATATATTCTTGTTCACAATAAGACATAAAAGGCCCCAGTGGAACCTTTGGTCACAAATTGTCAGCGATTATGACTATCTCTGATAATCTCCAGTGTTGAAAGAACACCTGTAGTGTACCACTGCTTATTGGACTATACATGCACATTGGCGATTGTAGTATCTTTTGTGCACTCTGTATCACCTAACAAGTAACAAGTAAAAGTAGCAATATATGCATGTACTGTATATATACCTATATATCTATAATTATATCTATTTTATTAGCAGCATCATATTTTCCAATACAAAACAAATGCAGAGCCAGTATAAAAGAAAGGACTACGGTTATCTGGTGCAGTGGATGAAACAAATGAAAAACGTCATAATCACTCTACCATCACACTATAACACTATAACAGTATTTCCAAAGGCTTGGTCACATGCAGCAAATTTGTTAATTAAATTAGCACTTATTTTTCTTCACCAGACTCATTTTTCCTTACATTAACTGTCTGGTGTGAACTGGTAGGACTAAGCTTACTATTAATTATTCTCCCCACTTCTAAGAAACAGTAAATAACAATATTGTTAGTTTGTGCCCTCTCAGGTCATGTATGTGACAAGTGCCACCTAGTGACTATGAAAAAGGTGGGGCTCCAGAGGAAATCACTTGTCAGGGTCCTGTCCTTTTCCACCATAAAATCAATCAAGGTAACAGTATACTTGTAAAAACAGAAAACTATCCCTTTCAAATGCAATAGATTAACACATCACTAAAATATCATCTTCATTTCGATCATACTAAAAAATCATATTCAACCTGATGGTCATATTTTTTAGTGTCCCATGGAAATATATTGCTAATTCCATACCGTAGGTGGCAAAAGCAAATCAGAAAATTGCCTAAGCACACCGGACAGATGTAATGAAACACAAACTGAAATGCTGAAGCGCAAAGGAGTAAGGGGCTTAAAGCTACAGTTGGTAGAGGTCAGATTATCCCACTGCAGAGATTAATTACTCTTGGAAAGTGATGAAAGGGTGCACAAATGCACAATTTACTGATATAGGTTGGCCACTTCATATACAACCTAAATCTAAAGGTTGGCACAGTGTGTCATGTCTATATTACAATTCCTTTTAGAAATGGTTTAGCAGGAATGTGCTTGTGCCCTGTGGTAGGTCCATCTTTCCAAAGAGATCATGTTCTCAAAGGAAAAGTGAGAGCACAATGCTGGGCCGATCCGTTTTCAGGGGATTCGTTTCAGATGCCAACAACAGAGAGTTTCTCTCTCCCACCAGGCTTGGCCTTCAGAGCCCCTTGAGCTGGCAGGTATGTTAGGTGAAGCCAGAGAGACGGCTTCCACTCACCTTGCCCAAGTTTTCTTGCTCAGTAATGTTCTTTGTATACAGCTCCCTGAAAAACAAAAGGTTCGGTCATTCCGTCCTTCGGATGAGACGTAAAACCG